AGAGCTATATATTAAGGAGACATACCCACTTGAAAAAAAAAAAACCAGGAATCTGGAGGGAGACAGGAACATAGCAGAAAACATTTTGGTAAAGATTAAAGGATGCAGAAACAGAAGTGATGCTGTCATCTGAGAATACCACATAGATAACTAGTTCTGGAAAGAGATCACAGGCCTGGCATGATGTATCAGCGAAGGAGGATTTCAGTTATCTGGACATCTGTAGGAATCCTAAAACCAAAATTAGAGCAAGTTAATTGCTTGACCTGCCTTAATAATTTCATCCTGTAAAATAGGTAGAGGAACCAACAAAAGGAAATTTTGTTCTGCATCATAATATCCCTACTGCTTAGCACAGTGCCTGGCACATAGTAGGAGCCTAATTAACTTATTAACTGACAAGTGGGATGACTGTTGGTGTGGAAGCAATGGAAACTTGGGGGGGAAAGGGGAAGTGACCACCTCCATCTTAGAATTTGGGACAAAAGAGAGGAAAATCAAAAAGAGCCTGGTGTGCACCCTAGTTCAGAGCAAAGGCAGGTAAGATCCCATAGCCAGCACTTCTTAAACTGTGGGTAGTGAGTGGATGTTTAAGAAGCCCTGTGTATGTGAACAGGCAGTTTTCAGATGAAGAAATTAAAGTCATCTATAGTCATATGAAAAAATGCTCTAAATCACTATTGATGAAATGCAAATCAAAACAACTATCAGATTGGCCAAGAAGACAATAAAATGATAAATATTGGAGATGTGGGAAAATTGGAATAATAATGCATTGTTGGTGGAGTTGTAAAATGATCCAACCATTTTGGAGAGCAATTTGGAACTATGCCCAAAGGGCTATAAAAATGTGCATACCTTTTGACCCAGCAATAGACCTCCTAGGGTTATATCTCAAAGAGATCATACAAATGGGAAAAGGACCCATATGTACAAAAATATTCATAGCAGCTCTTTTTGTGGTGGCAAAGAATTGGAAATTGAAGGGATGCCCATCAATTAGGGAATGGCTGAGCAAGTTGTGGTATATAAATGTAATGGAATATTATTGTGCTATAAGAAATGATGAACAGGCTGACTTCAGAAAAACCTGGAAAGACTTGTATGTATAATGTTGTACACGGTAACTGCCATGTTGTGTGATGACTAATATTCATGACAGAAAATGTTATCCACATCCAAAGAAAGAACTATGGAATTTGAATGCAGATCGAAGCATACTATTTGCTATTTTTTTTTTCTTCTGTTGAGTTTTGTTTCCTCTTTCTAGTGATTCCTCCTTTTGGTTCTAATTTTTACTTACAACATCACTAATCTGAAAAAAAAAAAAAGAAGCCCTGTGTAGACCAAAATTCTACATGGAAAGTTAGTTCAGGTGGGATGAAAAGACTTCAAGATTGAAATTCTTAAGGTTCAAAGAGCAAGAAATACAAGAAAAAAGTAGAGTTGGTAAGAGAATGCACAGGGAACCTATTAAATCATTTAGATTTTGTTTTTGCTAAGCAATAGGGTTAAGTGACTTGCCCAGGGTCACTCAGCTAGTAAGTGTCAAGTGCCTGAGGCCAGATTTGAACTCAGGTCCTCCTGACTCCAGGGCCAGTGCTCTATCCACTGCGCCACCCAGCTGCCCCAAATCATTCAGATTTTAAAAGGGAATGTACAGACGACAAAAGCAAGAACAGCCAACAGGATGGATATGGTCCTGTAAGAATGTTAGCAGGGTTAAAATTGACAATGACCTGAAGCTAAGCTAAGGATAACAAACAGGATTTGTTTTGAGCCATACTGAGGAAAAGAAAAGGATCAAAAAACGGACAGAATTATTTGGTGTGGATAGGACAATGACAACTTGACAATTACTGACAGAGAAGCTACTTAAGTCTTACTTTGCTTCTGTTTTATCTGCCAAAAATGATCTTTATATTGGAAAGGCCAAAACAAAAATGGCTAATACATAGTTGATACCCAAGATAAAAGATCATGAGATAGTCACCTGGCTCAGATGAACTACAACCTTCCATATTGAGAGAACAGGCAAACATAATCACTGAGCCATTATCAGTGATCTCTGAAAGATCACTTAACCCTGATTGCTTTGCCAAAAAAAAAAAAGATAATATAGAGGATGGGAGTACTATGGGATCTGAGAAAAATCAATGTCCAGACTCTGGGTCCTCAAATGTGGCCTTTTGGCTGACTTCAAACTTCACAGAACAAATGCCCTTAATAAAAGTATTTGTTCTGTAAAACTTGGACTCAGTCAAAAGGCTGCACCCAGGGACCTAAAAGGCCATATGTGGCCTCAAGGTGGCAGGTTCCCCACCCCTGGTCCAGATTGTCAAAAAAGAGAGAAGGAATGTGGTAGGGTGGGGGGGAGGGCAGAGGGAGAATAAAGTCTGTAAACCATAGGCCAATGAACTCAACTTTTGATTCCTGGTAAACTTCTAGAATACCTTGGTAGAGAGATGGATAGGAAAAATCCAAAATGTGAGACAGTGATCATAAACAGCCATGTGGCTTCATCAAAAAAGCAGGTCTTGCCAGACTCACCTCATTTTTTTTTTTGGCAAGGTTACTAAGCTGGTACTTCAGACAAACACAGTAAATGTAGCTCACCTAGATTTTATAGCAAAGCATCAGTCTCTCATGCACTTCTTTTTTGGGGGAAAAATGGGAAACATATGCTAGAAAACAGATTAAGGTTTAACCTGGTTCAGTGGCTGGGACCAAAAGGTGGTCATTGATAGTTCAATGTTAGCTTGGAAGGTCTCCAGTGGAGTTCCAAAGAGATCTGTGCTGTTTTAACTTTTTTTTTTAAATGATTTGGATAAAGACTGTGTTGCTATGTTTGAGACTACAGATGGAGCAAAGCTGGGGGGAGGGCTAACAACCCTGGATGGCAGCCAGGCTTCCAAAAAGGTTGGGATGGGCTAGAACATTGGGACAAATCTAAGAGGAAATTTAAGAGGCAAATGGCTTACACTTGGCTTCACCATGGAGATTTGCCTGAAAAAGACATGGATTTTGGCAGGACAGGGAAGGGAATAAGCATTTATATAGCACCTCCTTTGTGTCAGGAACAACTGTGTGATAGGTGCTATTATTATCCCTTTGTTATTGAGCTTCCAGATAACTATATACTACCATCCCTCCCCAGGCTGTCCCTGTCCCCAACCACAGGCTCAACTTGTTTTCCTATGAACTGCTGTCATCATGTTTCTCCCATTTTGTACTTGTGCATATTTTTTTTTGAACCCAAATTCATGCCTACATTTTTATTAGTCAGTCAATAAAACAGGACGTGCTTACTATGTGCTAGGCGCTGTGCTAAGCACTATGGACACAAAAAGAGGCAAAAGACAATTGCTGCCCACAAGGAGCTCACAATCTAGTGGGGAGACAAGCAAATAAATACGTACAAACAAGCCACATACAGAATAAACAGGCAACAAGAGAAGGAAAGCATTAGAATTGAGAAGGGTTGGGAATGGCTTCATGTAGAGATGGGATTTTAGTTGGGGATTCAAGGAAGCCAGGACAGGCAGTAGGTGGACACTGTTGTTTTTCCTTAGTTCTCAAAGAGGAGCAATGACAAAGTCACCAACCTCACATCTCGTCCAGTGGCCAGACAAAACGTCAAGACGACTGGTGGTGAAAGGCTCAGGATGCAGTGGGTGACCCTGGCCTTTCTGAAATAAGTTCTTTCCTAGGGCTCGGTTTGTCTGAGGCCATGCTCATTCAATGACTAAGAGGTAGGTAAGAATTGAGAAAAAAATATGGCCTAATTTACCATCCCAAAGCTACTAACGTGGGAGGGGAAGACCCTCGGTTTCTGGCCAGTACAGAAAACAAGTGCTATTTTCACTCATTCTAAACCATCAGTACCTAAACAACAAGCCGTAGGTTTGGGCTGGGCCTATTACTGGCCATTCAAAGAAGGCAGAATGATTTGGGTTTAAAGGCCTAGTCAAGTAGCTCCACTTCTGTTCGAATTGGACATCTATTTCAATGTCTGAAAGGCAGGTGGAGATGTGAGACTGGAGGTCAGAAGGTGATTAAGGCAGCATAGATAGATTTGAAATTAAATTTCATTTGAGGAAAATGGTCACCTTCCACAAAAAAAGATCAATAACCCATCTTACTTCTTACCTTCATCTTCATCTTTGAAAATGCAAATGGAATAGGCAGCCTTTTGCAAACAATATTCTGAAAGGTGTAGGGAACACAAAATCCCCTCTTTTTTTTTTTTGCTTATTATAAAAACAGCTTTTGATTCAATACAACAAAATGTGTTTTTAAAGGATCTCCTCCAACATGCTGTTTCCCATTAACATGTTATGGCAACATAAAATTCCCTGACAGAAATGACCAAGGAACTTTGTTACCCTCTGATTAGTGCCATGCAGATAACAAGGAGATATATTCACCAGTCATTTATTGCCTTCATATGAGGATGTCTAGGGGAGTCCAATTAGAAGAGGGTTTCCCAGTAGATGGTGAGTGGATGATGAACCAAACACATTCTGCTTCACAATACGGGAGGATAGCCTTAATGAGGTACCTCACAATTACTCTGGTCAACCTAACAATCCACATAGGAAAAAATAGGTGGAAGAAAAACTAGTGTCCTGTTTATGACATGTGGTTGGATGAACAAGCCACTGAATAGGTCCCTCTAGGACCAATATTTTAGATATTAAAACCCTGAAGAGGGAGGTCTTTCCCCATCCCCCCTAATTCCAGTGCCTTTCCTCTGCCGATCATCTCCAATTTATCCTGAATACAGATCATTTGTACATAGGTGTTTGCATGTTGTCTCCATTAGACTGTGAGGTGCTAGAGCTGAGACTGTCTTTTACCTTTCTTTGTATCCCTAACACTTAGTACAGTGCTTGGATTGTGGCAGGCCCTTAATAAATGTTTACTGGCTGAAGTGAAAAGGAAGAGAATGGGCATTTGGGAAGCGAGAGAGTGCTTTCAATGACTGCAATCTCTGAATTAAAAAAAATCTTTTTAATACTAACATTCAGCAATACTCTCCGACTGTAAATCATGGAATAGCATAATCCCCAGAGAATCAAAATTGTGTGTCATCCAAAAGGCAATGGAAGGGAGGCATACGGTGGACATAAATATGCTACAGTGTATTACCAATTCTGAATTATGCGTAAGAAACATATCAAAAGGCTTCTCAAAGATAAATGCCTGGGAAAGATGGGTCAGCCAGGAGAGCAAGGAATAACAAATCGTCTGCAACCTGCACTGGAAGCCTTGCAATAAGGCAGAGACCCAGAAGGAGTTTTTTAGCACTGTGGGTAGGTTTGGGGAATTTGTGAATTTGGTTAAGTATGACAATTATAATAACTCACATCTGCAAAGCACTTTGTTTACAAAGCTTTTTTTTTTTTAACCACAATCCTGTGAGATAGACAGAACAAATATCATTACTACCATTTTTATGGATGCCATCGACGTCTTTATCCAGATCACTGGTGGTGTGGCATGTCATGAGAAATCCTCATTCAGGTTCACAACAAACCATTAACTGACATTTCTGGGATATGTTCAGCCAGTTCCAAATGCATTTAAATGTATCAAGAGCAGATCAGGATACAAATCACAAGAATGACAACAACTGAACAAAGAGTTTGACCACCCTAGGAGGGCCCCCAGCAGTAAGAATTTCTCTTCCTGATTTTTACACCTGTCTTTCCTCATTCTTGTCATCAGCAGCTAAGGATTCATTAGTAGTCATTGAGGCTGCTGCCTCCCACCAGACACAATTTTATTTTATAGAAAAAGAGGGAGTCACATAAAAAACTAATTTTTAATTAAATACATATACATACATATACACATAGTTCTTAAGAAGACAGATGATATTTTTACGACATTTGGTAAAATGTGCTGGCAACTCCAGCTGTACAGCTGAAGGAAGGCAAACCCCTCAACAGCCCTGCAGCAGGATAGAACAACTGTTTCAGTGACCACATATTGGAGCAGAAAGGAGAACATGATTGTGTGAGGCCTTAACAGAGCACATCTGCTTTGAGGCAATGAAATCTGATTTGGCCTCCCTGACTGATGTTCACTAGTGGGGTATCATCTGCTCCCGAATACAGCTGCTTTGCTGCAGTCAACGAGCTGCCAGTTTTTGCTTGTGAAGCTATCTTGGAGCTAAAAGGGAAGGAAGGTAAACATACCAAAGCCCAGCTGATACATTTTCTTACTAGGAAATGACATCTTGTTTGCGAGGGGACATTTAAGTCCACCTTAGAGAGGTACACTGTCTTCCTCCTGCAGTAAGACACCTTAGCCATCCCAGGGCAGTTAGTTGGGTAATTCATAGGTTCCTCAAAAAGTCAATGTGGATGTTTTAATGATAAAAGTGGAAAGAAAAAAAACCCCACCCCCTAAAACCCTATTGGTTGTGTGATGAAGTACTTATGATAAAGCATCCTCCACAAAGTGACAAGTAGAAATAATATCCAAAATTGGGGAGCTGCTCTGGTAAACAAGATGATAGTGATGAAGGCAGGAGTTCAGTGTATCACGCCCAGGTCTCTGTCCCAAAGGCAGGAACAAGCTACTTCTGAACAATGTCCCTCTAGATCCACGTTGAAGTCTCCTTGTACCTCAGTCACATATATTGCAAGAAGCTCAGTCTTCAAGGTAGGCTCTTTGCTTTGGAGGGACAAGAGACAAGAATTAAAGATGAATAGTGTAAATAATAGAGAAAGAACCATGGAGTCTGAATGCAGATCAAAGCATACTATTTTCTCTCTCTTTTTTCTTTCTTGAGGTTTTTCTCTTTTGTTCTGATTTTCCTTTCACAATATGATTAAATTGGAAATGTTTAATATGACTGTACACATATAACTTATATCAGATTGCCATCATCAGGAGGGGGGAGAGAAGGGAGAAAAAAATTTGGAACTCAAAATCTTGTAAAAGTGAATGTTGAAAATGATCTTTATGTGTAATTGGAAAAAACAAAATACTATTTTAAAAAAGACAGTGCAAATTGAGAGGGGGAGCAGTGAGAGAGAAGGGAACAGAAGGAGAGAAGAGGAAGTGTGTGCACGTACATACATGTGCTTGTGTGTGTGCGTGCATGTGCAGTGGGAAAGGGTAGACAGATTCCTCCTTACTCTGAAGGGAATGGAAGAAGTGTCCAGGGGTCTGAAGGAGTGACTACAATCAAGAATCAGGCCATGTTGTGAACTTCCTTGACTCCTTTCCCTTAATGTACTCCAAACTTTCCCATTTCTGTCAAAGATGCTGCCATTCTATCAGTCTCTCAGGTTCATAACCTTGGAGTTATCCTTATTTCTTCACTCTTTCTCACCCCACATATCCAATCACTTGCCAAATCTTGCTGTTTCTACCTCCATAACATGTGTCACATCTGATTCCTCTCTACTAAAATAGCCCTCACTCTAGCTCAGGCCCTCATTACCTCTTGCCTAGATTACCAAAACAGTGTCCCTGCCTCAAATCTTTCCCCACTCCAGTCCATTCCAAATAGGAGTTAAAGTGACTTTCCTTAAGAACAAATTAGATGTCATTCTCCTACTCAATAAAGTCCAGTGGCTCCCTATTGCTTCTAGATTCAAATATTAAGTTTTTAAACTGGGGGGCCGCTAGTTAGTGAAGTGGATTGAGTGCTGGGCCTAGAGTCAGGAAGACTCCTCTTCCTGAGTTCAAATCTGGCCTCAGACAATTACTAGCTGCATGACCTTAAGTAAGTCACTTCCCCCTGTTTGCCTCAGTTTCCCTCACCTGTAAAATGAGTTGGTGAATAAAATGGTAAACCACTCTAGTGTCTCTGCTAAGAAAACCCCAAATGGGGTCACAAGAGTTGGACATGACTGAAAAACAACAAAACTACAAACCAGCTCCAACCTATCTTTATTGTGCATGACTTCCCTCCACTCTCTTTCTCATGATCTTCGAAACAGACAAATTAGCTATCTTTCTGTTCTTTACACAGGACATTCAAGCACTCAAAAAAACAAAAATCCTATCCCTGACCCTACCTTTCTAACCTATTATCCCTTTTCTTTATCACTGCCAAACACCCATATAAAGAGAAGTATAAACCCTGGCTGTTCCTAAAGTCTAGAATACACTTTCTCTCTTCAAGACATGGCTAATATTCTCCTTTCCAAGCTATTCTGTATTTAGTTACCTGGTATTTATTTGAATTATCTCCTTTATGTTTATTCTATATATGACTAAATATATATTCCATGAGAATGTAAGCTCCTTATGAGTAGGGATTGTTTCATTCTTTTTTATCCCTAGCAAGGAACACAATCCCTGTCACATCGTAGGCACTTAATGAATGACTGCTGTTTGAGTGACTGATCCTCTGTTTCCAGTAGCTTCCTCCTGGTCTCGGAGGAAGACGTGATCTTCCTTCTCCTTGCTAACTAAGGTTAATCTCTGCACCTGTAATTCTCCTTCCCTTCCTGTCCCTTCCCCAACTCCCTTTCTCTCATTTATAATCTCATGCACAGAGGCAGTGAGGAAGTGGACTTTCCAGAATATGGAGGAAAGAATACTGGCTTTAGAGTCATATGATCTGGGTTCAAATCTTGTCTCGTTTATTATCTGTGTCACTTTGGTCAAGTCATTTAACTTCCCAGGGCCTTTGTTTCCTCCTTTATAACATGAATGAGTTGGGCTGAATGCCTTCTAAAGGTCCCTTCTCCCCCAGCTCCAAATCTATGAGTCCTTTGTTGAAAAAACAAATAGAAAACCTCTTCCCCTGACCTGGCCAATTTCCTGAACGTCTCTCCTTCACTGCCCAACACCCACACACACGGCAGTCTACACTTAATGGCCTTTGCTTCTTTCACTACCAACTTGCTACCACTCAACTCTTGACAATAAGGTTTCCAAGTTCAACCACTTAAAGGAAACGGCTTAATCTCAAGGCCTCTAACGATACCTTATCATCAAACCTAACGGCCTTTTTTCTCGACTTATCTTTCTAGGGCTTGTGATTTTTGTCTTTTTGGCTGGTTCTTCATCCTCTTCTGGCTCCTTCAACATAGGTGTTTCCCAAGGTCTTTTTCTCTCTATTCTAGGACTCTTCTTTGCCTTCATTTTCAACCTCTCCTCAGAACCTCTTTTTAGTATTCTATTCCAATACAAGTCTGTATTTCCTTTTAACTATCTCTACCTGTAGTCCTATCTGCATCTCAAATTCAAGACATTTAAAACTGAAGTCACCACCTTATTCATCTCTAAAAAATTCCTCCTACTTTATTTCTGTTGATGACACTACTAGCCCCCTAGACTTTTAAGCTCAAAATCATCTTTTTTAAAAATTTATTTTTTAATTAACTTATTTTGGCTTATCAACAATCATTTCTATAAGCTCTTGAGTTTTAAATTTTTCTCCCCCTCCCTCCCCTTCTTCCTCCCCAAGAAAGCGCGCAGTCCAATACAGACTGTGTATACACACACACACACACACACACATTCCTATTAAACATATTTTCACATTAGTGATGTTGTAGGGAAGAATTAGAACCAATAGCAGGAACCGCCAGAAAGAGGAAACAAAACACAACAGAAGAAAAAAAAAGCAAATAGTATGCTTTGATCTGCATTCAAACTCCATAGCTCTTTCTCTGGATGTGGACAGCATTTTCCATCCTGAGGCCTCTGGAGACGTCTTAGATCCTTGTATTGCTGAGAAGGGTTAAGTCTATCAATATTAGTCACTGCACAGCGTGGCTGTTACTGTGTACAATGGTCTCCTGGTTCTGCTCACTTCACTCAGCATCAGTCCATACAAGTCTTTCCAGGTCAAACACATCTCTGACACTTCTCTTCTCCTTATTCCACATGGCCAACCAGTTGTCAAGTTTGGTCACTTCTACCTTTACAATCTCTCTGGAATTTGGTCACTACTTTTCACTCTCCCTGCAACCATCCAGGTTCACCTTCTCATCTTTTGTTACCTAGACTATTTCAACAGCCTAACCAGTCTCCTGCTAGTCTATATAGTCTATTTAGTCTATTCCTCCTCCAAGACAGAAATACCCACCACTGCCTGGGCAACGTTCCTTATGCACTACTCTGTTTTGCTTCCCTACTCATCCTGGAGGGACTCTCCATTGTCTAAACCTAAACAGAAAAAAAAAAGTGTGTATATATATATATGTGTGTGTGTGTGTGTGTGTGTGTGTGTGTGTGTGTGTGTGTGTGTGTGTGTGTGTGTGTGTGCATAAATAAATTCCTGAATCTGGTATTTAAGATCTTTCCATAATTTGGTCCCAATGTACTTATCAAACCAGTAGTCCTTTTCACATATTGCACACTCCAGTCAATCTGGACTATTTTCTGTCCCCATCCTTCTTATGCTGTCCCTAAAGCTTAAAAAGGACTCCACATCTCCATCTGTTCACATTCCTCTCTTGCGTCAAGCCCCCCAAAAGATGTCAGGTCTTCCATGAAGCCTTCCCTGACTCTCTGCCCTACTTCGGCTCAAAGCGATCTTTCTCACCTCTAATTTCTCCTCACATTGACCCTTATTTCACTCGATCTTATTTTGTCATTATTTGTGTACTTATCATTTGGATGATCAGATTGTTAAACCTCTTGATAGATAGGCCTATTACTCATCTTTTTATCCTCAATGACTGGGATGGCACACCCTGCACAGAATAAACATTAATATTTGTTCACTTGAACTGACTGTGCTGTTCTGAGGTGAGGGAAGAAGCAGGAACCTAAACTACTCTGCTTATATTTGGGGGTCCTAAGGATAAGCTCATCTACCTTTAGGAATATTGCCTCCCTATTTACCTTATCACAAGTGTCTAAGTTACCCTAGTAACTCTTTTCAGGGTCACTTAACAAAAACTGGCTTATGAGGAGTAGTTCAAACAATACTGAATAATTAACAGTATATATCTACATTCCTAGGTTCATGACTTCTGAAATGTCTGCTAAACCTCGGTGGTCTATATATTTCTACATTTTCTCTATACATCATGTATAAAAGGTGTTTAAGGAGATCACTGATCTTGGGATTTTGGCTTTGCTGAGTTGGACTCATTCCATTCCCCAGTTTCTCAATTGGGAAATCTGTCTCTCACAAATTCTCTTAAGGCACAAATTAAAGTGTGTTTCTCAATTGCTTATTTCTTTTTGAGTTTTATTCAAAGAGATTGCTATAGAAAGCAAAGAGGTCAAGTTGTAATGTTCTATCAAGCAACTCATGTTTACCTAGAGCCTACTAATTTAAAATGAACTTAAAAAAACAAAGAAAAAAAAATATATATCTGATAGAATATACCCTGGTCTCTAATCCTGCCAACAAATACAGGGGAAAAGTTTCTGTCCAAAAAAAAAAATTCTCCCTTTCTGCAAAACCTTACACCAGTATTTCAGATATCCACAATCAAACTTCAACAAGCATGGAATGTGCAACTAATGTGTTCCTTCCAATCCCTACCCCCACTTTCTTTCAGGTACCCAATGCTGTATTGCTTTTTTCAAACCCGTCATGAGGAAAGGAACTGAAATAACTTTAGACACACTAGAGGTAAACGGCTAATAAAGTTTCAAGTGCTATTTTCCCAAGGCAGTAAGTTAAATGAAGGAAGAGCTAGCTGTAGAAAGGCAAAGAATCAGCTAGTCATTATGTGTGTGTGGTAGTAGTG